AGAGGCTTTAAATATGGTACAAACAAGATCCAATGGACCGGGTTTATGCTTTTTTAGCAGGTCTAGATGATATGTTTGATAAGGTTCGTAGTGATGTTCTACGAACTCAACCTTTACCATTTGTCGAATAAGTGTTCTCTGTTGTTAGGCGTGATGCACAACGCCATGCCATCATGATAGGTGGGAGTAATGCAATTAGCCAATTAGGGTACTTGCGGTGGCTATGGTTTCTCGACCATCTGAGCATTTTTCGTTCTAATGGGTCTTCAAAATGATCTATGAATTCTCGTCCCTTTACTAAAGAAAACAAAGATGATTTGAAATGTACTTTCTGTGGTCAAACCCGCCACACTGAGGATATAAGTTTTGCGAAGCATGGAGTATCTGAATGGTTTTCGGAGTTGAAGAAACACTTGTAAGTAAATGAGCGTGCAAATAATGGAACAAGTGGAAGACGTGCATCCTTAGCCGCTGCCACACCGAGCAGTACTAAAGAAGCCGAGCTACCATCTAGTGATTCGAGTCAGTCTCTGTTGACTTGTACTAGTGAATCATCGTCTACTACAGGTATTGTGGGACATGTTCTTTTAGCCTCTGATACTAATCATCATATAGATTTGATTCTCAACTCTGGTGCAACGAACTTACGATAAAACTTTGTTTCAATATATGACAATATCTCGTAGAAAGTGCATAGCTACTGCCAATGGCACTACTACTCCGGTTGTTGGAGTGGGAATAGTGTGTCTTACACCCTCTCTTTCGTTACATCACTGTTTACTCATTCCATCCTTATCTCATCATCTATTATCTATACCACAAGTTACTGAGCAATTGGATTGTGTTGTATAATGTATTCGTCCTTTTGTCTACTTCAGGATATTCATACCAAGGAGATAATTGGGCATGGTACTAAGAGAGATGGGTTGTATTATGTGGACGACGTCATTCCTCGAAGAACTAATGCGGTTCAAGCGTCTCATGCTAGTAATTTACAAGTTTGGTTATTGTATCGCTGGTTGGGCCATGTATCTTTTGGTTATTTAAAGTGTATGTTGCCTAGTTTATTTCGTGAAATAATTGAATCAAACTTACAATGTGAAGTATGTATTCTTGCTAAAAGCCATCGTGCCTCGTTTCCTCCAAGTATGAATAAAAGATTGTTTCCGTTTGATCTCATGCATTATGATGTCTGGGGACCATCCCCTGTTAGTATTTCTTCTAGAATTAAATAGTTTGTTGCGTTCATTGATGATTGCACTCGTATGACATGGTTATATGTGATGAAAAATAAGAGTGATGTTAGTATGGTGGTTCAATCTTTTTCTCAGATGATTTAGACTCAATATTCCTCCATTATTAAAGTACTTCGCTCTGATAATGAAGATGAATATAGGCTAAATCGCGAAAATGGTTCTTGAGATTTGCATAACTCCTCATTTTGGTCTATGAGATTTTGAAATCAATACAAGTGGTCCCTGAGATTGTCCACCATCCATCATTTTGGTCATTCCGTTTAAAACTCCGTTAAGTGTTCCGGAGCTCTTGGCCGGAAGTTTGGGCAATTTTCAAAGCTTCGTAACTCAATCGTTTCTTAACCAAATTCAACCCATAATATATCAAAATGAAGATAGGAAAGTGTAGAATAAGACTATACCAATTTGGAATCCCAATGATTGTCGGAGATCGCCGGAAACAGGGTAAACTTTAAACTTTCATAATTCTTCAATACTCAACGAAATCAAGTAATTCAAAAACTAAAATCATACTTCTAGACGAGATGAAGAGAATGGTACCTTTTTGATGGATAACTCGCCTTGCTTTGGCCGAAAACAGCTTGAAAGTGGCTAACTCGAGACCAATATAGCCACTTTCGAGCCGTTTTCCAGCCAAAACAAGGCAAGTTAGCCACTGAAAAAGGTATCATTCTCTTTGTCTCATCAAGAAGTATGATTTTCATTTTTGAATCACTTGATTTCGTTGAGTATTGAAGAAGTTATAAACGTTTAAAGTTTACCCTGTTTCCGGCGAGTTTCCAGTTTTCCCTCGAACCAGTCAATTTTGAGGCTATTTTCCGGCCATCTCCGGCAACCATTGGACTTCTAAATAGGTATAATCTTATTCTACACTTTCCTATCTTCATTTTGATATATTATGGGTTGAATTTGGTTAAGAAACGATTGAGTTACGAAGCTTTGAAAATTGCTCAAACTTCCAGCCAAGCTTCGGGACACTTAACGGAGTTTTTAACGGAATGGCGAAAATGATGGATGGTGGACAATCTCAGGGACCACTTCTATTGATTTGAAATCTCAGGGACCAAAGTGATGTGTAATACAAATCTCAGGGACCATTTTCGTGATTTAGCCGGTGAATATATTAATTTTGAGGTGTCAAAATTTCTTTGTAATCAATGAACTATTCATGAAACGACATGTCCTCACACTCCACAAATGGGGTGGCTGAGAGGAAGAATCGCCATATTCTTGAAACTGTCGTGCCTTGCTCATTGGTGCTTCTGTTCCTAAGTGTTTTTGGCTTGAAGCAGTCACTTATGCAGTTTATGTAATCAACCGTATGTCATCCCGAGTTGTCGGTTTTTAAACCTCTTCAGAAACTCACCCGACATGCTTTAGTAGTGTCAACGAATACGCTCACTCCTCGTGTTTGGGTGTGTAATGTATGTTCATATTCAAAAAAATCATCGAAGTAAACTTGATCCGTGTGCACTTCGGTGTGTATTTATTGGTTTTTTCCACTCATCAGAAAAGGTATAAGTGTTATCATCCTGACACCCACCATATGTATGTGACTATGGATGTTACATTTTCAAAATCTGAATATTTTTATGCTCCACTCCACTAGACTTCAGATCACCATGGGGAGAGTGATACTATTGGTGATCTTTGTTGGTTGGATATAGGGGAGTCATGGATGCATGGAGAGTCAATGAAGTTGCTGCCGAGAGCAGCATGAAAGATTTCCAGCAGGTTTCTGCCTAAAATAGAACAAAGGAGTCTCGACAAGTTGCTACCGAGAGCAGTGGTGCCCAGCAACAGCAAGAAACTGCCGACAATGGTAGTTTGGTTTAATAGTTCCTGCTGAGCCTAGTCCTGAATAGTTTGCTGCAACCGAATCTGACAACGAGCCTAGCAGTGTATTACCCTCTCTCTAGCTCACAGTGTTGTCCAATACATCTTCTCTGAATATACTTGAGGTAAGTATTGTAGATGATTATGCAACTAATCTAAATAATATAGTAAGTACGTATAAGTTGCCACCAAGACAAAATCGAGGTGTGCCTCCTAACATGTTTTCTCTGGAAGGGAAAGTGGAGTACCCAATAGCTAACTACGTATCATGCACGAATCATGCACTTGAACATCAAGCCTTGGTGAATAATATGGAGTCCATTGAAATCCCTACCCGAGTGGAGGAAGCTTTGAAAGATCCAAAGTGGGTGAAAGCGATGGATGAGGAAATGTTAGCATTACAGAAAAAAATAAGACCTGGGAAGTAATGAAGTTGCCCAATGGGAAGAAGATTGTTGGATGTTGTTGGGTGTTCACAATTAAATACAAAGCCGACAGATCAATTGATTGATACAAAGCAAGATTGGTGGCAAAAGGATATACTAAGACGTATGGCGTGGATTATCAAGAAATGTTTTCTCCCGTAATCAAGATAAATACGGTACGTGTTCTTATTTCTTTAGCTACAAATATGGACTGGCACTAAAACAGTTTGATGTGAAAAATGTTTTCCTTCATGGAAATCTAGAGGAAGAAGTATGCATCGATTTTCCTCCGGTACGATGTTGGTGGAAAAACAAGAGTATGTAGATTGCGGAAATCATTGTATGGGCTCAAACAGTCACCTCATGCATGGTTTGATAGGTTCACTCAAGTCATGAAGAAGAAGGGATATCGTCAAAGTCATTCCGATCACACGTTATTTGTGAAGCGGAGACTGAATAGAGTAACTGCTCTGGTTATCTATGTAGATGACATGATTATCACTGGAAATGATTCCGACGAAATTGTGAATTTACAAGAGCATCTTGCGGCAGAATTTGAGATGAAGAACTTTGGTGACTTGAAGTATTTCCTTGGGGTTGAAGTTGCTCGTTCAACCAAAGGTATTTTCTTGTCTCAGCATAAATATGTTTTGGATTTGTTAAATTAAGGGAAACAGGTATTTAGGGTGTAAGCCTGTGGATACTCCTATTGTGGAAAAACATCATTTGGTCGTGTATTTGGATTAGAAACTGGTTGATAAAGTGCGATATCAGAGACTTGTAGGGAGATTGATTTATTTGGTTCATAATCTTCCTGATATTGCTTATGCAGTAAGTGTTGTGAGTCAATTTATGCACCCACCAAGTGTATCACATGGCGGTTGTCATGCATATTTTAGCATATTTGAAAGCACCTGGTAAGGGCATTTTGTATGGAAGACATGGACATCTAAGAATTGAAGGATTTACCGATGTGGATTAGGCAGGTGATGTAGCCGACATGCGTTCTACATCCGGCTATTTCACTTTTGTTGGAGGGAATTTAGTCACATGGCGTAGTAAGAAACATAAAGTGGTATCACGGTCGTCTGCTGAGGGTGAGTACCGAGGTATGGCACAAGGGATATGTGAGATTCTGTGGTTACGCAAACTTTTTTGGGGACTTGGGTTCAAACGAAGGAGACTATGAAACTATATTGTGATAACAAGTCTGCAAAGGATATAGCAGACAATCCAGTGCAACATAATAGGACGAAGCATGTGGAGGTCAATAGGCATTTTACTAAAGAGAAACTTGAAAAGAAGATTATGTCAATACCATTTGTAAATTATGAGGAGCAATTGGAAAATGTTCTTACTCATGACGTGTAGTAGGAAGATTGATGACTCACTCATCATGTTGAGCATATGTGATATCTATGCACCAACTTAAGGGAGAGTGTTAACGTGAGTTTTAATTAAGGATGTAGAGTTTATGTAAATATTTTAGAAATAATTCAGCCATATAATTCTATTAATCCCTCTTGGTTGGGTGCTTTGCCAGTTCCATCTCATCAAAGGTTTGTTTGTCTTGGTCATCATCGTAATCGTTGTCCTAATCATTGGGCAAGAAACAAGAAGACATGCAGATAAGCATGAAAAATATCAGAGATTTTAGGCAAAGGAGGATTCTGTGGTCAGGAAAGGCATCAGCAGAAAGTCAGGCAGTAGCAGTGACAAGAACAATGTGGCAACCAAAACACTCAAAAGGCTGTCTGCACCCACAAACCTTCCTTCTCCGCCCCCACACCCGGGGCAATGACCAGAAAAGCTTTGCTGCTGCCGCTTTCCAAACATGGAAGCAGGTGTCCATATCAAATGTGCTGCTCACTAATGAAATCATGATGATGAGGAAGATTGTTGAGAATGTGTCACCGCACCAGAATGTGATTGACTTGCCCGATGAGTACGAGGATAAGACTGGGGTCCACCTTGTGCTGGAGCTCTGTTCAGGAGGGGAACTGTGTGATAGGAATAGGATTGTGAAGCAAGAAAGGTATTGTGAGGCTGGAGCTGCAGCTGTGGTGAGGCAGACTGCACAAGGCTTGGCAGCTCTTCACAGCTCGAATATTGTTCACCGGGACTTGAAGCCAGAAATGTGCCTCTTCTTGAACAACACCAACAATTCTCCGCTGAAGATTATGGATTTTAGGCTGAGTTCTGTGGAGGAGTTCACCGACCCTGCTGTGGGACTGTTTGGTTCCCTGTCACCAGAGGCTCTTTCTCAGGGACTGGTCACTTCTAAGAGCGACATGTGGGCTCTTTCTCCAGGTATGTTCATATTTTTTTTCTTCATTTTCTGGGCAAACCAAACAGAAGACTGTAACATTAATTGTGTATAAGCATATTAGAACACAGAAATGATATGATTTGCTTTTTAGGTACCCACCTTTTATTTCCCAGTCGAATCAGCAAAAGCAACAGATGATTATGCCTGTAAGTAATTAGCATTGACATTCTACTAGAAGACAGAAATTAAAATGATTTGCTTTTGTCAAAAGTTCTGTTCAAATAACGAGAAAATGCTTCTTGTCCTGCAGGGAGCATTCAGTTTCCATGAGAAAACCTGGAAGGTTATTTCTTTGTCAGCAAACAATTGATTTCGGACCTCCTCAAAGTCGACCATGACAAGAGACCTAGTGCTCAAGAGGTAGGCTTGTAATTGTAAGCAAGAGAAGAGATCAAGCATCAACAAACACAATGAAAATATCGACAAAACGTTGATATCAGTCTGAGCTATATAGCAACTAAATGAACTCTTATTGAGTAGTTCTTGGTAGCACCAAAATGCAGTCTCCTAGATTTGTTAGCCTAACTAATTTAGAACCATCCATGGGTTGTCAGTCTTTCAACCAGATAGGATCAAATGGATGCTGAGATTGTATCACGACTGCAGAGGTTTAATGCTTGGTGCAAACTCCGTGCAGCAGCAATAGAAAACGTGCAGACAAGCTCGATGTTCTTAAGAACAAAGAAGCAAAAATCATTGCTAGGATCCCATGACCTTAAACCAGACGAAATCAAGAATCTGAGTTTACATTTTAAGAAAATGAGACTAGTTAAGCACATTTTGCACAACTAATTATCTGCGAATGTGGTGTAAAATTGTAGGTCAGACAGAGAGAATCATCAGTACTCAGCATCCAGTTTCTGGTTAAAACTTGCATATATAGCAGTTATATGTATCCCATAGCTACATAATTCAGTTTAATGAGAAGCTTATTCTGTTTAAGCAATCATAAAATTACACTGGCAAGAGCCCTTTGCTAAGTTATCTGGTAATCCAATGTTTTATAAATTCCAATTTGGCAATGTGCAGATGTGTAAAAGGTGACAATGCTACTTTTTCAGAATTTGAGGAGTTGCTGAAAACAATGAAAATGTCGTCTCTAATCCCTCAAAATACCCAGAATCTTTTACCTATTCGACAAAAATCGCGATGGCACCGTTGACATGTGAGAGATACTGTCTGGATTCTCTAGTCTCAAGAACTGACAAGGAGACGATGCTCTCCGCCTGTGCTTCCAAGTGCACTCTCCTGTATTTTCAGTTAGTTCCACTACATAACAAAAACTCACTCCAAGAGTCTAACCAAACTAATTTGGACTATAAAGATTCCTGAGAAAATCAAACCTTGCTCACTAAATTAAAGAAACTACTACTAATCAAACGTCATATAGCTTTTACCATCCATAATGTCTACTCCTAATTCACTGTCATTATCCCTATTCTATTTGTCCCACTATTTTGTTTCACACCCATATGTTTGATACGGATCCGTCTGGTTGCATCAGCAAAGAAGAATTAGCATCGATGCTCAGGGTAATGTCTCATCCCCTATCACCTTACATGGTTTATCCTAATTGTTTGGTTGTTTTCAAATAAGATTATGACCAAATAAAACTACATTGAAGAGGCTTTTGCCAGATGACTGCCTTCCAGCTGATATCACCGAACCTGGTAAATTGAATGAAATATTTGATCGGATGGATGCAAACAGTGATGGAAAAGTTACCTTTGATGAGTTCAAAGCTGCCATGTGTAGAGAGATAGGTCCCTCCAAGATGTAGTCCTCTCCCATCCTCGACCATTATAGTTTTCCGTTTATCCAGTCAATGGCCATCAATTTTTTCAGTAAACTGCGGAAGTTAATTTCTCTGTGTCCTTGGAAGACCAATGACCATAAACATGAAAATTGAAACTAACTGTATGCCAACTTCTGCCATGGAAAGTAGGAGCGCCTCGCTGCTTTAATTTACAGAACAAGGAAAAAATAGAAAATCCAAGGTAGTCTACTTAGCCTGGCTAAACTGAGGAAAATTTCAGTAGCAGCAATGAGAAAACCCTGCCCCAACGTTTTATCTTTGAATCGATATTTTTGCCTGAGAAGTTACTTTTTACTTTAAAACCGAAAACGATAACCTTCAGCCCCAGAAGACTTTCTGTTTAGGGCTGACTTTTTGTTTAGCATTTAGGTGTTTTATGTTATCAAAGCATGTACCAGAATTGAGTGAAACTGGAAGAACAAATCTAACCTGTAAAAATCTACGCTGTGTTTTCCTTCCAAAGAAGAAAAAGTGCATCTACACACCAAACAAGGAAGATTGAAATTTCCCTTTAAAATTTAATCTCTTACCACCGAAGAGTTGTTTGGCAGGACGGAAAAGGGAAGCTTTTTAAAATGAAGATTTTGCTCTCTTCCTGCCTAGAGGCTGGAGACCTTCATTACATTCGTAAGCCAGGTTGATCCATCAAGTTCTTGTACCAAGTGAGAACTCCCCTTTCCCTCCTTTTTTCACCCCAGAATTATATTCTGTTGCAGTCACCACGAGATAAAGGTCACCAAATACAGATTCGTAATGAGTACACAAGATTTAATTTTCTGACTGAGTATATATCCTGTAATTTTACGAATGTAATGAAGACATTATGTCCTTAAACGGATCCTAAATATTCAAGAATTTTGTTCCAATACAAGTTTTAGAGTTAAAGAGTATTAACAGTTCCTGTTAAATATGCAGTCAAATATACAAGAATGTAATGAAGACAATATGCAGTTAATTGTGATCCTAAATATTCAAGTATTTCGTTCCAATATAAGCATAAAGAGTTAAAGAATATTAACAGTAAAGAGATTTAACATCATTCAAGCTCGTGACCTCGCTAAGCTGTACTCAAAACTATACAGACTTTTTGAGTATGGTTAATCCAACAGACTATACTGATAGTCCACTCACAACCGACCCCCATAAACCTGTAAATTTTAAGTGTTCTTAAGTGTTTGGGATACACCTTTCAATGCAGTGTTCTCCATTCCAAAACACAGTATTACTGCTTTATCATTCAAATGATTGAATCAAACTCAACGATTGAGCTAATTCATATTAACATCGCTTATATCCAGCAATTCATACTAGAGTATAAGAAAATAAACTAAAACCACCAGCTACCAGACTAATACGCATTGTCATTACAACCATCGAGATATTCTATACTATTAATCATCATTTATGTCCATACCTCTCCCATCATCACTACCTCTGTCATCTGTACTGTCATTACAATCGTTGGTACTCTGTACTCTATGATTCAAAACTTTCCACTCACCAGGGACCATCACATCCATCCACCTTAACTCATCGCTGCCAGTATCTCCCAGGTCTTCCACCCAATCTTCAATGTTGGAATCCATAGCTTCTAAACATATTGGATCCAGGGTACCTCTTGTATATACGCCTTTACTTGCTTCAGAACGCCTGCTTCCGTTAAACCAAAAAAGGAAGAAAAAGGAAAAAGATAAATGAGTTGTGTCTGAAGAAAGAATTGGAACAGTACAATGCTCACAAACTTTACCAACAAGCATTGCCCTATTCAATTTTCTTCCTTAATAATCCAAAGAGACAAGGTAGTTTTAAATTTGTGATACTAGATTAAAAGAAATATTTCACAAATAACCCATTCCTGAATTGTGTTTCAGCCTAATTGAGTTAATTTGGGAGAAAATTGGAGCATTGGTCCCTGAACTTTGATCCAATTGAAGCATTGGTCCCTGAACTTTAATCCAATTGGAGCATTAGTACCCGAACTAAAAATCCGTCAGTAGTAGTCCATGAACTTGTCGTGTGGAGCAATGGTACTTTTGGGCAACTCTGTTAGACCTCTTATTTTCCCTTAAAACCCTTTAAATTGGACGGAAGTTCTAACATGTTACCCAATTTTCACATTATGATGAGTTCGGATCAATTTTTAATTCAGGGACCAAAGCTCCAATTTTGCCAAAGTTTACGGACCAATACTCCAATTTTCTATTAATTTGGATAAATTTATACAGGCACCAGGGAAGACTTCAAACGCATACTAAACAAGCAATCAAAGACGCACAGTTTTAATTACTAATAAGAAGAAGAATGCTACTTAGGCAAGGTCAAGGTAAACCAAATCGTCTCCTCTGTCAGAAAAAAAGAAAAAAAAGAAGCAAAGATACATATACAGGTCCATTCAATTTAATATAGTAATTCTTGTACACACAAAATAGAATGTGTTCTCCAGTCATGTTCTTTCTTAAATATGAAGACATAGAAGTAAATGACTAGCTTGTCCTGGAAGACACTTTGACTGCATTTAGTCCTTTATCGAAAGAGTATTAATGCACATCAAAAGCCTTTGAGGGCATCACAAGGACCTTTAATCGAGAGGGAAGAAAAGTGGACAACAGAAAAAGATTAACTCTGGTGGTTGTTTTAAAATAAAATTGACATGAGTCCATTTTTATGTGGAGAATTAATCAGTGAATTACAAGATTAAAAAGTAAATACCTAAGTCCCACAAAGACTCACTGTCTCGTACAACCTTGGAGTATAAAATACATAGACAAATCAAAGCAAATGATATGGTAGTACAGATTATATTTATTTCCTTGCTATGAGCAATCTTATGGATACACTATGAGAAAAGATACAGAGGGTGGAGAAACTTACATATGTTGAAGGTGCAAGTTATGATGAACAAATACAAGGTCGTTCAACCTCTGTTGCTCCAATCGGTTCCTTTTCTTTGAATACATACGTTCAAATATGCTCCCACTCCTCTTAGACCGGATAATGCTGCAAGTTTGACTTAGTATCCTGACAGCTAACCGTTGGAGATCAGGGTAATCAGCTCCATACAGGGACCACCAAGTAGCTGCAAAACAAGACAACATAGTTTAATACTGCAATGCATAAAACAAGCTAGAAACCTGGAACAAGTGAAGATTATTTCAACCTGGGGCCAATGATTCTCGACATCGTAAAGCCACGGGTCGACCAAAATCCCCTACAGCTTCCTCATAGAAATTTATGTTGCTTGTAATCACAACTTGAGCTGTTAAGTTAGGCTCTATGGTTTCAATACAGTCAAGCAATCCCTTCTGGATGACTTTTTTAGTAGAAAAGGTAGGGCTATAAAATATAGACGGGTTGAGATAGCATGCAGCTGCATGAAGTGGGCTATGGAGCTCCTCTTGCCAAACGTGATCAATAACCTTCAAATATGGCAAGTAATCAGGTTCATTATTGTCAAATGCCACAATTACACTTTTCTTTGCCTTTTCAATTGCATCGTATAAGTAACCAATAGATGGTTTCTCCTCACAATCCATAAGATGAAAAACCGAGAGTAGGTGCTTTGTCACCTTCAGAGTTTGATCACACAGTGACCAGAAAAGTTGGTCTGCAACAATCTCTGCTACCTCTAGTCCAGCCCTTTGCTTAGAGAAATTTGACTGCATCCAAGCAGCAGTGGTAAATATTTGTTGGAGCTGGTGCTTCAGAGCTACAATATTCTGCAGCGTAAGGAAGACAGAAGCAAACCTTGTGGTTGCAAGCTGGACAATCTCTCTTCCACCTGTTTTCTTCCTTACCAGATTAAGCATCCAAGCACTGTTGTATACAAATCGAGTTACTCTTTTTGCCTTTGCCAAGACCTCTTTAACTTCATTCATTTTCCCAATTTCCTCAAGCATTAAGTCAACACCATGTGCTCCGCAGGTACTGCAGAAAAAGGTCTTATATTTCTCCATTAAAAGCTTTCTAGCAGCTTTACAACTGGGAGAAGCATCTGTCACAAAATTGACAATCCTCTGAGGCCCAACTTCTTGAACAACACCGTCAAATAAATTAAGAAGTGCTTCTGGACATTCTGAGATGTCTGACGCATCTGCAGATTTGAGGAACACAGTGCCCTTGGGGCAGTATACAAAGAAGTTGATAACTGTATGACCACCTTTATCCACCCACCTATCAACCATGACTGAACACCCAGTCACATCCCAAGATCTTCTCAGTTCCTCTCCATATTCTTCTGCATCCTGAACGCTGTGGTTCAACAATTTTCCCCCCAAAGCATTATAAGAAGGCATCTTATAGCCAGGACCAACAGCAGCAATTGCATCAGCCATCTGTTGATAAAAATGCGAATTTGCAGCAGTGAATGGTATACCAGATTCATACATAAATCTTGCAACAGCCAAATCAGCTTGATCTATCATATCTTGAGAAGCAAAACTCTGATGCAAAGGCTGAGCAACATTAGCTGTTGCAGCAGGAAAAGAATGCTTTTTGTGTTTCTTATTGGAAATTCCTTCTGTAGCCTCTTTTCCCCTTCTCCTTCGCGTGCCTCGTGTGGAAACTTTCTTTTGAGTTCTCATTCCATCTTCATTGTCTTCTTCTTCCCTATACTGGTAGGATGCGGAATCCCTGCTAGTGTTTAATCCTTTCTGCTTTTTAAGCTTCTCAAGTACTTTAAAACCTAGGTGTTGTTGAATCTTCATTTTAACTTCTTCAGGTACCTCCTCGCATGGAGCTACATTCCCCCTTTCCCCAGCCAGATGCTGTTTTAGTCTGGAAATTCCACCCCCAAGCATTACTTTGTGGCAGTATTTGCACTTAATCTTCTGACGACCTCCATTCACCATAATGCCATGGGCCCAGCCAGGATCAGAAGCACGAGGTGGAACTGAACCCTGATGATTAATGCATCGTAGACAAATGTCAAAAGAAAGAACACAAAGGCACTTGTATAGGATAAACGAAAAATAGATTGTTGTCTTGGCCATAGTTTGAGATGATAAGTTAAACTTCAAGGTATTTAAGCTCGGCTAATACAGTATCCAAGCTCAAAGATTACGTTGAAAGGCAAGTTATCCAACCTCAAATATTATATTGAAATATGATAACCAGAAAAGATAAAAACACACGAAAAATAAAGCTCACTTGATTATCCTTGTGCTGCATATCTTGGGAAATGTCAAAAAGCTTCTGAGAATAATCCACAATAAGCTGTTAATACTCTGAATTGAAGTCGCAATACACAAAACCATGATTAGAGAAATTAAAATAAATTAAATAACACCAAAACTAGGTTTAAAAACTTCATCTGATATTAAAGCATATAAACTCTAAAATTCTCTCTGAAAAATGGAACTTATGAATGACAAATTAAAAAAGAATTATCAGAAACCACACTACTGTTTCAGAACCATGCTTTGACCAAAGCGATATGGCTTGGCATAACCATTTTCATGTCAATCTACATGACGAAGATTGATGCTTCACCTCTGTTGTGTTTTACTACCAGTGTTAACTTATGACTCTAGCATTTAGTGATAACCCTCTACGACATTAACTTATTTAGATATAATTACCTACAAAAACAAAAAGCTAATGAACTGCCTCATTCATAAATGATGTGCAAATCAAAATAAACAAGAAAAAGATTCAGTCATTAATCATTATTAATCTGAAATATGACCTCAAAATTAAACTCCAAGTCTCTTTTGTCTCTTTCATGAAAATAAAGAAAAATAGTTTCACACTTATCGAAATCAAACCAATTTGCAAATGTGAAGTTATCAGCAATATTCACATAATATTGGTAAAATTATCAATATCTCCCAGCCAAAGTTACAACATGTGACTTCAAATTATTTGAACAGGACAGATCACTTTACATATCCTGACATCACAAATCACGTCACGTATTGGAAGGAAACAAACATTAAGTCTATTCCATCGCACTAGTTTCCCCGAAGTTATATTATTGCCTATTTTCAAATAATATATCATTTTTAATTATATAGACTTTCCAATCAACAAATGAAATCATACTGATACTAGTAATGCAATCTTGACTTAAGATACGTACCAACTACGTGTAATGTGGGAGAAGAAACAAAATTATTTCTTTGTTTGCAAAGGTAGAGAAAACAGAAGAAGAAAATGTTCCAACACAGACAAACCAAGCACCACGACCCCAAGCCCCAGAACTTACCGCTGCATAGCACACCTCTGTTTTGAGCAAGAAAACGGCATGAGTTTATAGCCACTGGAACAATTGATAACAAATGAAAACGCAGTTAGGATAGCATCCAGAAATTATCAAATAAAAAGAAGGCAATGCAAAAAGAAATTCCTCGAATTCATCGTCGGCATCCATGAGAACAAATTACACAAGCAACTTTTACAGCTGAATCCAAAATTTCAAGTTTTCGAGATATAACACTATAACTAAATGCATATGTCATTTTCTCAGGGTTGCAGGCAATACAAGTTGCAAAATTCCATAATTTTTTCCTTTCCATTGCTTTTAAATCATAACAAAAATGTAGTAAAATGAATAGCTTCACAAGAAAATTCAGGTCATTTCAGTGACAGACAACACTAATCTCCGGATTCCGAAAGTAAACAATACAATGTAATGCGCTGTTTAAGTCAGAAAGTTCCTTTAACTTTCCTACATTTTCTCAGCAACCAAACAAGTAATATGAATTAACAGCAACATTTGGTTTTCACTTTTCTATAACTCAGAGAATTCCCAACTCCCTATTGGCATTCGAATCAATTCATCTCATATTCACTTGAAAATCAACACAAAGCACTTACTTGAAGCTTTCCCAACACGCCGAGATTTTCCGACTCCGAAATATCGGACTGGTCTTCCGAGAAAGTAGATCCGAGACCCGAAAACGACAACTGCAGGGAAGAAGACGAGCGAAACGTATAGAAGTGGGTCGGACTCGGAAAGTAAAATTCGGGATCGGAAGTTGAAACCCGGGTGGGTTTGTTGAGAAAGGAGCCAAAAGAAAAGCGGGACGGCAATCGTGTTTCGGGTTGCGACAATGGAAATTCGTGTGTGGGCGTCGATAATTCGCACCAGAATGGCACAATCCAATCGTTTTGCCGTTTCGCTTTGCATCCCACGTGCGGCCTTTCACACATGACTGTTTTTTTGTTGGGCTTCTCATGTATTTTTTTTTCTAATTATAAAATGTTTGAAGTGTCAAATAAGATTTTTGAAGTGTTAATAATAATTCTTTTTTGTTTACCCAAATACAAATATAGACTTTCACACATAATAATTCAGTATTGTTTAAAATATTAAATTTTATTTTTCTCAAAAAAAAAAATTAATTTATTAAAATAATATAAACTGCTGATATAATCTCTAAATTATTACCCGAGTGAAAATTAGGATAGTAAAAGAGTCCATTCAAATACAGGGTAGTCAATTAAAGGACTATAAAAGACTTTAGAATCCCGGTGTAGTAAACTAAGATTTTAAAAAGTTTTTATGGAGTCCATGCAAATCTATAGCTATTCAAATATTTATAGATTTTGAAGGATTTCATTCAATAAGAGATATTTGTACGATTTGAGAAGGAATGGTAAGCATAACAAAATCCTACTACCATCCCTAAGATTTCTTTTCAATCCCCACGCTTTCTTTCTCTCTCTCTCAATTCTGCAACTCGAGCTTTCTTTCACACTCTCCATTTTCTCTAGGAAACCCATCCTTCCATACTTCCTTCCGGCGTCTTGGCCACCCACCCAACAAGGTCCTGAATGTGATCTCTCACCTGGGTTTGCTGTGTATTTTGTTTTTTAATCAAATTATTATTTTGGTTTATAGAATTCGATTCAATTATACAATTTCTTAACTATTTAATTGACCTCTTGTCTTCTTTCTACTATTATTATATGATATATCATGGTCTTAATTCCAAGTATATCGAGAGCATTATGTTGATTTGAATATACACGGGAAGCCCTCAACCCAACCATTTTATCTACCCTTGGAATCCTTCTGAATCCGGCTTTCATGAATGATTATGGTGGAAGGTAGACTTGGGGAAGCTTAATTTGTATTTGAACTTTCCTGCTGGTGGAGGATCATGGAGGATTGGGGTGGGGTTGCTTGGGAGAATTGAGCACAACTCTTCGTTATTTTTTCAAATTTTAATCTTATTTTTTATTTAAAATTAATTTTAAAATGACAAGAGAGTCTCTCAAAATCCATTCAAATCATAAATCAAAGTCCATAAGAATCCTTTCAAATCTTTAATCAAAGTCCATAAGAATCCTTAAAAATCCATTTCAAAGTTGTAAAGATTCTATAATCCTTTGAAATCTGTCACTTAAAAAAGTGTTTTAAAATCTTTTGAAATCCAAATTGACTACAGTTTCAAAGCTATTCTATTTAATTTTTCGTCAATTTAAGTTACATGTCTTGCATGTGCTACACTTTGAAAGGTAAATTGGTAGTTTTACATAGTTTAAGGGCCTATTTTTTCCTGAGAAATATAATATGGAATTAATTTTTGAGGATAAATTAGATACTAAATTCGCAACATATATGCAATATTAAGGTCTCATAAACAAGAAAATGATGACATTACCCTCTAAATGTGTAATGTGACTTAAGTTGACGATAAATTTGATAAAATAGCTTTCAATATAATATTAGGGATGCAATTGACAATTTTGATGAATTTAGAGACTTATTTTTACTAAATTAATAATTCAGAGACTAAATCGGCAGTTTACCTTAAATCATACGTGGTCCCAAGTTCAAAGTCATACGACACTTTGGCATATGCGGTCGGAGATTTCAAGCCAATAAGACACTTTGGCAAATGCTTACAAGAAAATCTCAAGGTTCTTAGAGCATTTTGATTAATTTTGAAAATGGTGGAGTATTGTTAGAAATATTTCGAAATAAAAGTTTTTAGAATGATTTTACCGGTAGGAGAAATTGGGCTACTGGTCGCATCCCTTCGGAGGACGAGTCTTGTCTATTTGGTTTAAAGCTTTGATATTTTTTTTTTTTAAGCACATCGATATTTTTACACTAGAAAGAGGAGGAGTTCGACTAAGCCACATAATGGGCAACCTACTTTGGTATCGAATTTGTCATCCATGAGATTCGAACCTAAGACCTTTTACTTTCAAGTGAAGAGGAACACCACCAGACTGTAATATTGAGTGGCTAAAGCTTTGATACTTCTATGTAATATTAAAATCATTATAAATACATGTTTAAGCAAAGTTCTAAAGGCGCTTAGTGTTAGTCGAGCTGTAACATCCCACATCGACTAACAGAGAGGGGGTGATGTGCCTTATATGTACATACCCACCTCCTATAGCATGAGACATTTTGGGAACTCACTGACTTCGGATTCCATTGGAACTCTGAAGTTAAGCGAGTTCGGGCGAGAGCATTCCCAGGATTGGTGACCCACTGGGAACTTCTCTTATGAGTTTCCAAAAACAAAATCGTGAGGGCGTGGCGTGGCGTGAGTCCCCAAAATGTCTCGTGCTATAGAAGGTGGGCATGTACATACATCACCCCCTCTCCGTTGGTCGATGTGGGATGTTACACGAGCAGTAGGCAAGGGCTAGCCTAGGCGTCTAGGCAGGCCTAAATGAGGGCTTAGGCGATTTATTTTATTTTAATTAAATTTATTAGTAACACCATTTAGTATTACAGTCTAGTGGTATTCCTCTTCACTTGTAAGTGAGAGGTCGTATGTTCAATTCTACATTATTGCTAGCTCATATTGTGAGGCTAAGTGATCCCCTCCCCCTAATGTATATAATATCGTTTGTTTAAAAAAAAAAATTATTAGTAACATATAAATAAAGGTTACTTAAGACTTAAAAAATACAAAATTGTATTAGGATACATAAATTGTAAAATAGAATAATATATAAATTACAAAGTATTAAAATATTATAAAATATAATAAAAACATGAGAAACAATCATATAATGAGTGTTCACTCAAATATTCAACAAGTATCTTACGATTTTTTTTTTAAATGTAAAATGTATGATGAAAATTATCCATTTTCTGCCTAAGTGAGAGTCACAACCTAAGTGAGCGCGTAGGCAGCTCTATGCATGAATTCTTAATTTTTAGACACCTAAAGATTAATCGGAATGGTAGCTAGCCACCTAGCACCTAGACGAGACCTAAATGGCTCTAGTCATGGATTTTAGAACAATGTTTAAGAAGTTTGAAATTAAATTCTATTGATTAGACATGTCTTTTGTGAGACACTTAAACATCTATAAATTGAGGACGAATTCTCAAAGAAAACGAAGATGAAGATTCCCACAAAGTATACTATCTCCACCCTTTTCATTGAAAAACCAAATACTAAGAACAATTTTGCATATTTTGTTTTTGGTTCAAGCTTGAGTATTCTTTGTTATCTATTGTGTATTTGGGGTTTGTCTTAGGAGTGTGTAAAACGTTGACAACTAATAGGCGCGTGAATGATGAATTTTATTGGGTCGAAGTAAGGCAGATTGATAAATAAATATCTCAGAAGTCCTGTTATGGAGTCAACGGCTCCGATCGAACTAAGCCATCCAAACGGATCAACAATGTTACCACATCCTATTAAGCTCTAGAATGATAGGCAATGTTTATAGACCTTGTTGAAATCGACCATACTTACTCCACGAGACGCATAATCTGATCCATATGGGGATTAGATAGGTTTCCTATATTCTTAGAGTTTCTTGATGTCATGTCAAGGAAAAAAATGACCTTGCATGTTCTGATAAATAATTGAAATATTTCAATATTGTCAATTAATTTTACGATAAGATCACAACTTTCTTTGATTCTTATATTGGAATTTCGAATCTCATAATTAATAAGTTCGATACCAATTTATTTCTCTGCTTCTTTGTGTATAAAAAAAAAGAAATAAAAATAAACAAAAATGAACATAAGAACACAAAAATTGTGTGGAAAATTCACCTTAAATTTCATGACAAGAGGATGAAGGATAGAGATTGTTCTTTAGCTTCATTTAAAATTGTGAGAATGTTTGTTTGCATGAAACCCCACACGGGCCACACCCACAATCCATCGGGATTGTTGTTAAAATCCCCAGAAATTCTTTCTTAATCGTCAGATTAAAATACATCTAACGGTTAATATAGAAAAGAATCACTGTCACCTTAATGATGAACTTTCAAATAGAAAATATAAACTGGCTCTGGCAGCGCAGGACAAAGTACACCAGCCATCAGTCCATTACTTCACATTAGCAGTGAGCATACATTTTATGTGTGTGAATAAAATAAGTATATGATTATCAATTTCTAAAAAAAAATATGAGTAAAATAGGAAAAATAAGAATATAATTGTCATTTTATCAAAATGTACAAAATTAAAGTCTCTTCAACCGTCCACCTCCTCATATGTTCTCCTCAAGCGCAACCGCTTCAGTTCATTCAAACTACCAAAAAAACATCATGATTTCACTTACGTGTATGAAAAAATAATGGTGGGATAATTTTTCTTAATAAGTACATATTTTTTATCTTATGTAAATATTTCGATACAACTATTTTGTCCTCCTTATGTAAATATTATGTATCAAAAGTGAGGGTAAAATAGAAAGAAAAAAAAAGAAAAGTTTAAAAGATACAAAATTACTATTTTGCCCTCCTCATATCAAAAGTGAGGGCAAAATAAGAAGAAAATGGAACAAAAAGTTGAAGCCCTCTTCTTTTAATAGAATAGATTTAAGCCATTTGTAAATAAGAAAACTAATGAAAATGATTTGAAAACTTTGAGTTTTAATGATAAGAACAAAATAAAGGGTAAAATAAATAGTACTAAGATTGACTTTTTAGTGTAAAAATGTGATTTTTCGTTAAAACAAACAGTACTGGAAACTTTTCGTTAAAGTTCCTTTTGTAAATATCTTAATCAACCCGTAAGTAGTTTGTAAATAGAAAATAAATACATTAATTAATGTTTAAAGTAATAATTAATTATTAATAATTAAATTATATATTACAAAGTATGATCGGTTCACTTTCAATTTTTTTTCTAATTTCACATTTCATCAACACCTCTCTCTCTCTCTCTCTGAGTCTGGAGTCTTGAACTTCTTCCTTCTTTCCTCAGACATAGTCGAGAGAGCAGAGAGGAGAGAGAAAGACAAGCTTACAAGCACTGCTGACAGTGAGAGTCACTGAGTTCTTCATTTCATATATAACAGAGGTATACATACAAACTCTCCTTTCCCGCATCATTATATATACATACATACATACATATATATATATTCATTTGTGTGGTTATTAATTTGTAAAATGGCTACTTTCTTCATTCCCAGTTGCTGCTTCATCGTTTAATTTGTTTCTCTTTTGGTGGTTCAAAGTTTGAATCTTTTTGCTTTCTCTCTATTTGTTGGCGTTACAGAGTGATTCAGGTCATTTTTCACAAATTTATTTGCCATTTTTTGGATCAAATTATGGTGATTTAGTTGAATTTGCCAGTCACTCACTCCAGTATAATGCATTGAGGGTTAGTAATTTTAATTTGGGTTCTTTTGGATGTGACAGTTACAGCTTAAAGAAGTTCAGTACCCATGCCGCCAATGCCGAAGAAAAATCGAAAGATGGCGGCTGATGCCTGCCGTGCAATGAAGGAGTTTGGCATTTCGGAAGTTCGAACGAGGGCGGGGGTTAAGGAACTTCTGAAATTGTATGAGAACAACTGGGAGCTTATTGTGGAGGACAATCACAGAGTGCTGCTTGAGTTTTTATTGGAAGGTGACACTGACAACAACAAGGAAGAGGAAGAGGCAGAGGCAGACGAAGAGGTAGCATTGTTTTCCTTATTGAATTTTGTCATGGGATGTTTGGCTTGTTGAATGCTTGTTATTATTATTAGATTTCGTCTTTAATTACTCTCATCATGTATATATGTCATAGGAGGGAACTATGAAAATGTTTCAACTAAATCGTTTCTTTTTTCGCGCTTCATTTCTACGTGTACGTTATGCTTATGCTTGGTCCTCATGCTTCATTACTTAGATAGCCGAACAAAAGGGCAAAGGAGTTTCGATATGTGAATCAAAGGTGAGTACTTTTTGATTGGTGGTTGTGAAGTTTCATGTCATGGAGCTCTCGTTGACAACGCAGACGGCATTTATAGAAATTATAGTTCTTTTTCTTTTCCCACTTGCATTCTTATATTCTAGTGTTTTCGTGTTTCATATAATTTTGTGCCAGGCTGTGAAACGTAAGAACAAAGCAGCTCCATCTCATGGTAAAACTGAAGATGTTCAAATTCCAATCAAGAGATATTGCACAAGGCAACAGACAAAACAAGCATTGTCCCCTTTGAAATGCGCCACACCTTGCCTTGCAGAAACTCCATCAAAAATGGCACATCAGAATGAGGATTCTGAGGAATCTGAAGACTCTCAACCACTAGTGAGAAGAAGTCGCCGGAGACTCCAAGAGGGAGAGGTTTTAGACAGTGGGAATAACTTCAGTCCTGTATGTAATCGCAACACACAGCAGGAAGAAAGTCTCAGTATGATGTGTGAAGATAGTTGTTCAGACTTTGATGACGATGGCTTGAATTTCTTGGAAGTGAAATCATCCACTGTGGACAGTAGAGGAACTGTTTTAGATTTGTCACTGTTTGATGTTGAATCATCTCCTCCAAAGGGAGAGCTCGAAATGTCTTTGATTTGTCACCCTTCTCTACATTCTGATTTCGATCTTCCACATTCTGATGAAGCTCTAGAATTATTGGAAGAAACATGCATGAAATCGTACGGGGTCAGAGAATGCTTGGTGGAGACAGGATTTGATTCCACTTTTGATGAAAGTACAATTTCCAGAGATGTAGCAGAGTTAAAGAATTCTGATGCACAAGATGTTCTTGAATCTCATTATCAAGGCAATGATTGCAATACTCTAAGTTCCCCGAGCGAATTATTTGTATTTCAGAATCTTATCAAGGTCGTTCCCCATATACCCAAGCATATAGCTTTTGGTTGTTTTAATGATCTTCACCGCTTAATTGGTTTTTCTAGTACGGATATTGAGAGCATCTGTGGTGATTCGGCAAAGAGATTAGTGATCTTCCAAGGCCAGAAATCTCCAAAATTACGCAAGTTGGAGGAGGCTGCTCATGACTACCATTCTTCCATTGGAGTTATAAAATCCGGTGTTTATATTGAAGACATAACTAGAGGTGAGGAGAGAGTGAAAATTTCCTTGGAGGATGGAAAAAATGTTGAAGATCTGCCAAACTTTCTTTACATCCGTCAGAGTTTAGTTTATAAGAATGCCTCTGTGAAATTTTCACTTGGTCGTATGTCTCATGACGGTTGCTATTCACGTTGTTATGGGGATTGTCTGACATCACCCATGCCTTGTGTCTGTGCTTCTGAAACTGGGGGTCAGTTTGCTTACACACCAGGAGGATTGGTCAAAGAGATGTTTCTGGAAAAATGTATAGCCTTGAAGCGGGAACCTATACAACACCACTGCTTCTATTGTAGAGAGTGCCCTCTCGAAAAGTCTAAGTACGAGAAGAGTTCTGTGGCATGCAAAGGCCATTTGTTACATAAATTTATTAAGGAGTGTTGGCATACATGTGGATGCAATAAGAACTGTGGAAACCGGATTGTTCAGCAAGGCATCAGCGGGAAGTTGCAGGTTAGGTTATTCTCTGTAAGTTTCAGTTGTAAGTTGTAAATGCTAGAGTCATTTGAGTGGTTGTTTATATGTTCCAGGTATTTTTGACACCTGAAGGGAAAGGATGGGGTCTTCGAACACTGGAGGACTTGCCAAGAGGAGCTTTTGTTTGTGAGTATGTTGGAGAGATATTAACCAACACAGAACTACATGAGCGAAATGTGCCAAGTACTGGTAAGAAGCATGCATACTACGCAGTGCCACTAGATGCGGGCTGGGGTGTGAAGGGTGTCTTGAAAGATGAAGAGGCACTTTGCTTGGACGCTACTGTTTATGGAAATGTTGCAAGATTTATCAATCACAGGTGTGAACATTCATACTCTATATACACAGAACACTTCCTCCTCCCCCTTCCGCCAACGTTGAACTTTTTTGTTATAATAATTATTGTTTGGTGTTTCTTTTCTTGCTTTTCGCCGCAGGGGATGAAACAATATTCTATTTCTGCTGATGGTAAAAATATTTCTGCCTCTTACTGGATATATCTACTTGCACTATTACGGGCGAAGTAATGTTAGCTTAATATAGACACATTTATATACATTTATAGGAAGAAAATCTGATGCACTTGATCAACAACGATGATAATAGTTGCTGTTCCTTTACGTTGTTTCCAGTTTCTTTACTCGCTGCTGTTCCTTTACCTGGTTTTCAGTTTCTTTATCCGCTGCCAAAGATAACCGGTTCCATAACAGGACTCCCCTACAAATATCTTGGGCATGAACATGAAATCTTCTCTGTGGACTGCCCAGTTTCTTTATTCTGTCGTAGATTGCATGCAAACTTAAAAGTTCCGCTATCGTCCAGTGACTAATCTGTTGTACAAATACAAATTCAAACTTTATCCTGCAATATAAATATCTGAAATATTGGACGAATGTGTGGCATTCAATAAACTAAATGAATGGTAATTAATACGATCATGGACAAGAATCATTCAATCTCAGAATGTATTATAATTTCTTTATTGAAACACCATGTTTCTCATTCAAGCTGTCTCTGTGTCAGTCGAGTATATATATACCTGAACGGTTTTTATTCTTCAGTATCTTGATTGTATATTAATAGTACATATATTGTTCAGATGTTCTGATGCTACCTTGGTTGAGATTCCTGTTGAAGTGGAGACCCCGGATCATCACTATTATCATGTATGATTTCTAAACAATTAATGACCTCGTCCTTTCAATCTTGTTTTTACGACTAGAACTAGTCAATGCATTTCTTCATACGGATACAGTAAACACGAGCTTATTTTTTTCTTCCTTCTTGCAGCTTGCCCTTTTCACAACAAGAAACATTGCTGCTATGGAGGAGCTCACTTGGGTAGGAGGGGTTCACCAATATATGATATATACACATAAATGTTATTAGTGTTTGTTTGGCATCAAGGTCCAGCTTTCATATGTCTCTGTTGTTGCAGGACTATGGCATTGACTTTCGTGAGCGTGATCATCCTAGGACTGCGTTTCAATGTCTCTGTGGGAGCCCACTCTGCCGTGATCGTAAGGAGTCCAAGGGTGACGTGCAGCTACACACTTACGCTCGACGAAGACGATGCAGAGTGTAGTTTCAAGCACAATATGTCATCTCATACTACAGAATAGTTACCATGCTTTTTGATTAAATTACTAATTTGGTAATGAATTCTGCTGTTGTAATGGAAAAATCCCTCAAGCAGAATGTCTTAACTTTTGCGCACATGACAACAGATTGAATTCTTGTTTTTTGGTGCTTCAATTGACTTTCTCAAAGCCAAGTGTTATTGGTTTGATCTGGAAAAAGGGTATTTGAGGGTGGGGGTTGGTAGAGAAGGATGGGAGAGACCATTCCGTGGGCTCCACCAGGGGCAGGTTCTTACGCGTCACTCACCAATCCGCCTTACGTCCTACTTTTACGGATTTGGAGGCAGGAGAGGATTCTCCTGACCAAACATTTTGGGCTATTGGATTTTTATCCAATGGCTACAAACAATGAGTCTCTTTAAAGTTATAATAATTATAACCGTTGGATGAAAATCCAACTGTCTACAATTGTTGGTCAGAAGGACCTCTCCATTGGCTCAGGAGAGGATCCAAATCCTTGCTTTTACTGCTATATTGGTAGTTACTTCACTTTGCTAACATAAAACAGATACTGGATTTGCCTATTAGCAATAGTGTTACATTGAGTGAGGGCGAAGCCATGGATTGGTGGGAGAGAAGCAGGGCGGAGGCAACGAAGAAAAATGGGAGAGATGCAAGGTGGAGGTAATGAAGAAAGAAGAAAATGAGGCAACGAAGAAAAAGATTAAGAAAAAAAAAAATAATAACTAAAGATAACCATGATAAGATCACATCCACCACCATACTCATTTTGGTCATTTTATACATTCACAACAGTTTTATATAAAAATTTACCGAATACTTAACACACACAACTAGAGTTTACCAAGCACTTTACTGCTTCATTTTACAATTGTTTATTCTCATAACAAAGTATAATCAGTTTTTCTAAAAGCACAGCAATACCGAACTAGGCCTAAATAGCCAAACGGATCATTTATAAATAAACGATTACAATCAAATTCAAAACATTTGATCTATAGAACATAAGGAATGAGAGCCTTAACATTTTTGGGAAAATCTTCAAACTTGGACACATACCATCTTCTCGTCACGTAGCTCCTTGCGATCAAGTATAACGCTGAACCTGTGGTGAAGGAGAATCCATAGAGAGTTTGAGAAATAAGAGCAAGCCCTACAAATCCTATGATTTCAAAGAGATAGTGAGGGCATATAATGATTCCAAACAAACCACCCTTGGGAATCTTATATTCCTTGTCACCCTGTAACCTCCTCATTCTCGAAAGAAGGCAGTGATGGTAGAAATTGCCAGAAATCCCCAGTATAAACAGCAGACAGCCAAGGTACTTCAAATCGATTGATGGCTCTGGAAGCCCTTTCGTTAAGGATTGAGCATAAGTCACGCTTGCAGTACACACACCATAACTAAGAGAGATGATAACAGCACTATCAAGGATCATTCCTCCGCTGTACTTGTGAACAAAAAGAACCTAGAAAACACGAAAGGCCATATTTTCCGTGACTTGATTAATAGTTGAAATTATTGTTAATGATACCAACCATATTTAAAAGCTAAAACTTCTTCCCTGGAGGATAGAGCTGAATAGTCCTAGCTACCAGGTTTTACTAGTTGACATGCAACAATAAAATATCAGACTCATTTTAGGTAGGGTTTTCACGTATAAGTCCTTTATAACATCACACTTTAGAAATAAAAAAACACTTCAAACTCAATACTTTAGAGAAAACCCCAACTTACATCCAGCTTACATTGGAACACAAAAGGAATTTCAAAACCAAGAATCAATTAGAGCATGACAAAGTGATTTTTTATGAAGGTTTTCATTTCTCCAATTGAGCTGTTGAAGTGTTTTTCTACAAACCTTCTAGTTCTCGGGGTTTTTTTTTTAATTTACTAATACAGACCCTGCGTAAAGCGGGAGCCTTGTGCACTGGGTACGACCTTTACTAATATAGCTAGAGGAGACTATATACTAAAAAAATCATCAAGTGAGCTTGTGCATTTCTTGGCCATATATGGAAAGAGAAAAATAAAGGGGAAGAGGGGGGGGGGAGTAGTACTAGTACCTCTAAAATCCTTTTCAAAAAGTGAATTGTCAGAGCCGAAGACAACAACAGCATTCTGATATCCTCTTGAGGATAAATCACAAAGGATGCCACAGCTGCAAGAAATGCCGGAGTATAAGTTATCAGCATGCCTGTTCTACTAGATAGTTTGATTTCCTTTACAGCAAAGGTTTTAGAACCGGAATTCCAGAACTTGGAATAGTGTAAGTGCTTTTCTCTTAGCTCCAAGAACCCATACACGGCTAATATTGTGAAGCTAATCACTGACATTGATGTGACGAAAAGAGAAGAAAGTTGTGGGAAAATGTATGTCGTTGACATAGTGGCCACCGTGGTTAGTCTTTTGCTTCTCCCTTTATTTCCCTCTCTGCCTCAGACTTCTGCAATAACCACTGATATATAGGCTGTAAGGAAATATCAACACCAGTAGATAATCTTAATTCCATAATAAATAAGAACATAAATAATATCCTAGATATTATTCTGCATCATTTCAATAGCCAAAACCTATACTCCGAAATGAAGGGTAACCATAAAAGCATAGCAGAACTTGATTGATTACTGCAAAATAATAATAATAGTTATGCTTTATGTTACCATGTAACTCCTTTGCACCGATTTTATGCCTCGATAAACTTTTCGTATTGAGTATTCAACATTTCCTCTAAATGCTCCCAATAGACTAACCATAGGATGCATGTAAATGCAACATATCAAACTGTATAACCAGAGAACAAGAGATGAAGGAACCGAAACTTCTCCTTATAAGAACAAGATACAAGCACACTGCCACACTTGATGCGAATTGTGTCATCCCTGATTTACTACTTTTGGACAATTCAATGACCATAAGCATTTTGTGTATTAGAAGAAAGAGTTGATTTTCACACACCATTTTTAACCTCTCACACATCCCTCTTTAGCTTGTCCCTCATTTTTCTAATTAGAGACGTTTTGAATATGAAAATTAGACGCTCTAAAGTTAAAAAAGTTGAACTTTTTGCAAAAGATTTATCTATGCAAATATATGGTCTTTCTACTTTAAGGATGCCCTTAATTCTAAGACCGTCTGAATAACGAATTTCAACAATTAAAACCGTCTACGCTTTAGGTCCTCATTCAAGGTTCATCATTGCATACAAAAAATCATCTATATATGTAACGGAGGATCCATTAATGCACATATTGGGTCCGGGAACCCTACGGAAGCTGGAAAAAATGGTTCTTATGGTCCTACAAGAATCCTATGAGATCCTACCGAGACTCAACGGAGCTATGTACAGATGACAGCTGGTGTCTTTAAGAAAAAAAAAAAAAAAAAAAAAAAAAGACCTGGAGGTGCCAACAAGCCATCGAGGGCATGGCTAAGAAAATGTCTGACAGGCCCACCAAGTGTGTGATGAAATGCCTCAACTGAACTCGAAAAGACCGTGCGCAGTATGCCATGTTGTAATGTTCACATCTAAATTAAGTTTTGAACTCTTACACTAGAGTCGTGCAGAAAACCGAAGTTCACAGAAACCAAAAATTTGCATATCATTAGCCATAGAATAAACCAACACCAATTTTTTCGAATTTCTGGAACCCTAAAAAATAATATTTGCAAACTAAATACAATACAGCGGCTGCGGGGTTTTTCTGAGAGGAGAGAAGATGTGAGCAAAATATGAAAATTAAGATGATTTGAAATGAATATTAGAAGATGGAAATTAAATGATTCAGGCACAAAGGAGTGAAAGCCTTCCAATTAACCAATGAACTGGAATCAGTAAAATCAACATATAAATACAATGAAATTCAGAAACTGAGAAACACAAAGTAAGAGAGAGAGAGAGAGAGAGAGAGAGAGAGAGAGAGAGAAGAAGTTCGCACCGATGGCTACAGAGGACTGTCTGAGTTGTGGTGGTGGTGGTGGTGGTGGTGGTAGAGCGCGCCAATACAACAGTTTCTATATTGGGAGGCAAAGACGTTTTGGAATAAAACGGATGATTTTTGTTAATTTTTGTACACATCGTGGATTCGTGGTGTTGTGTTCTCTCGTGTCTTTTTTTTTTTTTTTTTTTTTTTTAAGAGATACAATTGGTTATAAGTCATATTTATTTATCTTTTTTGGTGATCGAGAAAATTCACAGAAACATTTCAATCTTCTTCTGGTTATAAGTTTGATTTCTACGTCAATAATAAGTTTTGAACCAAGACCTGCAATTTTTAATTTTAAAAAAATCTCGTAATTTGTCATTTACAACTGGATCGTCAGCTCGTATCTTTCTCCATCAACATGGTGGGCGTCGCTAGGAAAATTTTTAGTTGTGACGAAAACACAGATGGTACACCACGTGTTTTTATGCAAGTGGTGGAAAATTTTAATTTTTAAATTATTAACCTTTTAACACACATAACCTACTATATATATAAATACACATAATGTATCACTTCGTGTAATGATCACACCTAAAAATCTCTCGGGTTGGGATAAAATACTGAGACGTGTAATATTTAAAACATTGCGGGTCTGCCCGACGCAGGCAACTGTGGCTTTCGAGATCTGCGTGTAGTCTCTTTAGACAATGACACATGGAGACAGGATTTGATTCCACTTCTATTGTTACAACGCCAAGAGCGAGACCAGGAACACAAAGGAACAATGACACGTGACCCATGACCCATGACAGTAAGTTTGAGCGGCTAATAAAAGAAAGGCTTTTTGGCTAATAGTTTTTTAAATTCGCATAATTTCTCATTTTGATCTTTAAGATTTGAAATTAATAGAATTAGCCTATAAGTTTATCCATTATCAATCATCATTTCATGAAAAGTTTCCATTAAATAAGTCTAACATAACAAAAATGCTCTTAATTCAGTTGTTCATGTGAACATTTCGAGTCAGGATGTGTTGGTTTGGTATCAGAGATTAGAACTCATATTGGATTGGGTTAGAGGTGTGGCTATCCAAACCAAACTCAATAAATGATCGGGTTTAGTTTCGCATCCTTTTCCAATTACATCCTGCCCAATTGAGTTTACAAATTGTTAATTAAACTATCAATATCTCTTTAAACCTAAATTTAATACTTAAACTACCCTCATAAACCTAATTTAATATGAAAATTTATCTTTAGACCCATTTAGAAAACAAAAACTATAAATCACTGTTCTGCAATTCATTCAAAGTGTGCTTTTATCTAAATTGGATTTCCATTGCTCTTATCCCATTGCTGCTTCATATACAAGACCTATTCAAACTCGCTCGCACTCCCATTGCCACAGTATTAGGGCTATAGTGTCATGGGTTCTTGTGGACAATAATTGTTGTTGAGTGGCATTTCCTTGAATATATCCATTATGATTGCTCGCACAATTCCTGTTCCCTCTTACCAAGCTCTTTAACTAGTTGGTGAATCTATACATTAATCTAATAAGATGATTAGCTCATCATCAAGTTAATCGAATAGAGGTTCTAGAAGAAAAAGACCCTCTCAACAAAGAAAATGTCACAAACAAGAAGCAAAAACTGGGCGAATGAAATGACATATTTAATTGACCTTCGTCACTTCTGCTTATAGAGGTGCTCTTGTTCCAGTCATCCTTATTTGTCGACCATGGGGATTGCTTAGGCAACAGAGGAAGAATCTGAGGTCAGCAAACAGCGGTTGATGTAGGCGTTCGCAGTACACACCATGTGGCTGCTTCAAAAGATTAAACCTTAACGGGAAGCAACAATTTTAGTATTTCGAAATTAGGCTGGGGAAGGAAGGTTGAAAGTAGGGAGTAAACTTGAGCGTCAAGAAAGATAGCCTCCCCCCCCCCCCCGCCGGGGTCTTTACATTCAATGAAGATGTTAATTGTTATTTTTTATTCTTCTGGAAAGTGGATAGAAGCGGGTTAAGACATGCAAGAACGATTTCTCTAACCGTTGAGATCTATCCTCGATTTTAACCTTATTGACATTGTTTGGGTAGAAGAGAGAGAGCTTGATGATTTTAAGGTTGTGGGGAGTAGGAGAAGATGGTTTTACGCTTGTCCAAATTCTCAAATCCAATTCTTTATTTCAGATTCCTCAATTCGAAGGAGCCTCAGACCCTCAGTTGTCCTTAGAATTGACAATGGGTTTATTAATAAAATTTAGTTTCATTATTAATTTCACCTTGTACTTGATGATAATTATATAATAGGATAAAAAAGATAATTCACATTTAAAATTTAAGTTGCATGTAGAGAGAAGTTATATGGATTCAAATAAAATTTCCCTAAAATGAAATGTAAAAGCAACTTTTACAAGCCATTTAAGATGCTTTGGAGGATTGGCTTCCACAGGACACCATAAGTCAAATATTTCATTAAGAATTTCATCAAGGATGCTAAGACTTTCATTAAGAATTCTTAATAAAATTCTTGGCATCCATAATAATAAATATGACGAACGTCCGTAAGGTTACTAAGAATTTCATTAAGAATTCTTAATAAAATTCTTGGCATCCATAATGATAAATATGCCGAACATCCGTACGGATGCTAAGAATTTCATTAAGAATCCTTACGAACGTTTGGCATATTTATCGAGAAGCTAATATAATTGCGGAAGATGAATTGGCTTCCATAGTGATAAGTCAAATATTTTCAATCTGGTTTAGTAATTTTCCTTTTTACGGAGCTTTGAAAAGTATACATATCACGAGGCTGCATGTGTTTCCGCTGTGAAAATTTAGATTAGGATGGCTGCTGCATTACCGAACCAAGAAAAAAATGCCTCAGCAAAAGGACGAGGCCGTTCTCTTAGACCCCATGGCCCAAGAAACTGTGATCACTCACCGTTTAATCTTAATCAAACGGTGAAGAAAAAAGTACAGTAACAAAGTTAAATGATCATTTATCATTGCATTAAGATCAAGCAGCGAATGACCACAATTTCTTTAGACCATGAAATCTAAGAGAACAAGACTGGTAGTAGGACATTCTTACCATACAAATCTCAAATTTCAAACTTTGCATGCAGAAGAAGGCACGAAACAGTATCCACAAAGGGAGGCACGTCCGTCGATAATTTTGACTGACCCTATCTATATTCTTACATGTGTACAAACTATACAAATCGAGCGTCGTATGACACGAACATATATACGAGGAGGTCTTAGGCAATTGTTATAATGGGATGAGTCTAAGTTTTTGATTAGTAATAATGTACAACTTCACTAGCATTGTGCTATGTATGTACAACGGAATATCTCAGGGACCAAATGATTAATTGTGGACAAATTTAGGGACCACTTTTATTGAGTTCAAATCTCAAATATCAAATTGATGAGTTCTGCAAACCTCATAAACCATTTTGGCTAAAAAGCATAAAAAAAATGGAAAATTGATGCAATGCCATTAATGTAGTCTGGTGGCTAGTTAAAATTCGATATAATACTTCCTATTAACTTGATTTCCTCCAAGTGGTGTTTTAATTAGGAATTCTGTTATCATTTAGTAATGGTCTTTTACTATGCTATAGTGGGCTAGGAACTTGGCTTTGTAGTTATTATGGTTGCTGGCTAAGCTCTCTCAGTACTCAGAATGAGAAGTCAGAACATTAGAGACAGCAGGGGATTTGAATTTTGAAGTTTATGTAATTGTTTTTTTTTTTTTTTTTGTCTCTTGAAAATAAATCCCACATTGATGGGAGGATAGACCGTGCACGGGCTTATAAGTAAGTTGGACTACTCCCTATAATTGATAATTGGTTTTATGGTAGAACCTCAACTTTCTTCGTGGTATCAAAGCAAGTTGTCCTACGTGTAAAGCTAAACAGCCACACACGCTCCACGTGGTATCAAAGCAAGTTGTCCACGTGTTAGGCTTACGTGAGGGTGCATGTTGAAAATGAAGTTGCGTGTTGAAAGTGAATTACCCTTACGTCAGGGTGCATGTTGAAAATGAATTCCACATTAATGGAAAGATGGAACAATTCCACATTTAATGGGAAGATGGAACCTCAAGTTTCTTCATTGTCAAAGTCTAAGTAAACTAAAATAGCTTCGACATCATTATTTGGTAGTAACTAAAATAGCTCCGGCATCATTATTTGGTAATGAATGATTGTGATGTTGCTTTGGTTTCGGGGTGGCCCGACCCTTTCAACGATCAAATTTTCATGGTTTTTGGTTTCGATTTGGGATTGAACTCCCATCTGTCACATTTCACTCGTAAGTGGAAAGGGTGAAGTTTGACTTATATAAAATACGAGCAGAATTCAATGTTTATGTGGAGTTCGATATCTACTTGTAGTTGATACGGTGTGTGAAATCGCTGACCTCAATTTTCAGTCTTTAGTCGTTGTTTGACCTATAAACCTCCAAAAAGATGCCGAAATTCGTGTCATGTTTTTTGACGGAAAGGCTTTCGGCGTCGACCAAAACGATCGATGGCGCACGTTCACATCTTCAAATAAATGGATGCTGAGTTTGAAACTGTTTGATTTGATGATTTAAACTAGATTTTGACATATTCGATTTGATTTGATTTTTTTTTTTTTTTTCGATTCGATTTGATTCGATTCGATTGTATTGGTTGATCGGCAACAAAAAGAGACAAAAATCTTTTTGCCATAAAGCAAGTGATGAGGCTTAATCTAATATTTCTTGTAATGCTGACTCACATATCACTAACAATCTCTCACATATTTTTTTTATTTTTAACAAACGATATTCTACACTAGCAAGGAGAAGATCGGCTTAACCTCACAATGAGCTAGTTATAATGTGATTCAAACTCAAATTTGACGATAATCGAACTTAAAACCTCTCACTTACAAGTGAAGAGGAATACCAAGTAGCTTAGATATTGAATTTTATACAACAATAAAATGAGTTGCCCAATCAATGAATTAGAGACTAAATTATAGAATTAGTGCCTCACTTTTAACATTAGTTTAGATTTTTCTCCCTAAATTAAAAATTCGTTAATTAAAGTTCTTAAATTTCACCAAATGTGGAGAATTCTTATTATAATAATAATAATA